CATATAAGCAAAAACGCATAAAAAACGGAGTTTTGGATCGAATAGAAGTAGGAAGCGATTAAATTCGTTTGGAAGAAGCGATCGACGACTTCAGAGCAGTGTCAAAAGTGCCTCGATGCAGCTTAGCAATCGGACTAGTCCACTTTACGTAAGTTTGACTGTACCGAGAAATACAACATATACTAACCTGAAGCCTCTGGCAGCCAAGCAGTAAATCGATCAACGATTCTTCATCCTGAATGTCGCTTTTTAAAAAGCTGGGACTTGCAAAGAATCATCAAGATACAGTCAGTCCCAGAGTGTTAAAGTTCTGGTTTTTGGTAAAAATTGAGAATATTTTCAATATTTACAAAATATTTCGCCACTATGGTACTGATTCAAGTGTTTTCCTAATAAGCATAGCTCCCCTAATCCAATGCAAAATATTTTCCTAGTTGCTAAGTTATGATCATTACTATTAATATTACTACTACACTGATATTATTGCTTAGCTTAATTGTTGAGCATATCATATTCAAACAACAGTAAACGGAATTAAGCACTAGTCAAAAAAATCAAAGGTAAAAGACAATTTGAGGATGTATTGCTTACTAACCAGCTCCTGCACAATCGCTTCGAAGCATTCCTTCTGCCAACGTGGATTCAGATGCATGAATACGCGTCCTTTCCAGATACGAGCAAAATGCTTTGCTTGCCATGATAATGCCTAAATTGACTCCGACAGTACTTCATATTTAAAATGTGTATATAAAAAAAAACAAAACCGAAGAGTTGCCTCATAAGTTAAAATTATTCTACGAAACCATTTTTGTGCGCCTTTGCATATATGCAAATGTAAAAGCGCATATTGTGATGACCCACGCTGTGTGTGTACTTGTGTGCGTCTGTCCAAGTTTGGCAACCAACTAGGTTCCAGCAGCAAAATTTTACCAGAGGGTTCTCGGCCAAGGATCACCCCAGGATCACGGTATCGACCCTTATGCGTGTTTGGATTCTGCACGCGACCAAGTGAAAGCCTTGGCAGAAAAATCGCTAGCTCGAGAACTAGAAAAGCCAGGAGAATGAAATTTTCTGGGGATGTTCCCAGCCCACGTAGAACTCAAAGACTTCAAATCCAGCCCCCCGGTTACGGCGGTACACAAGCATGGCTTCGTGAAAGGTTTTGGCGGAAAAATAGCTAATTCGAACTAAAAAAGCTGGAAAGCTGAAATTGTAAGAGAATATTTTCCTTTTTAAGTACCACACAGTAGTTGCACAATTAACTTCCTGAAGTATGAGGACCAGTATGTCACAAGTTCTAGCTATTGTGATGCCAAGCGATCTTACTACAGCACGAAGTACTGAAAGACGCATGATCGCTCAAGCCCGTCTGGTGCACGTCGCCAATGAGGAGATGTCTACGTCTAGAGCCATTTTTTTCTTTTACCTCTCAATTTTTTTACAAAAAAGACTCAGGCGACGGGCAGCGGATAGGGAAAAGGGAAGGCTGGGGGTGCCAATTTGTTAGGCGCAAAATAGGCTTTTCTTGACCTTCGAGTTCTTCTGGATCTTCAGCCTATAGAACCATTTCTGCTTGTTCCACCATTGTGTTAAACTTTTTATAAAGCTTTCATGTAAACTGTCATTTTCCGCTCGTCGATTGCGTCGATAACTGCGGAATGTTTAACCAAAACGTTGCATGGACAGTGCGAGACTTGTTCGTTTATGAGCTGACCAATTACCAAATAGTACTAAGCATAGCCTAGTTTATCACTGACTTCGGTAAATCTTGGTGGATGTGAAGCGTCTAATCAGGCAAATGAGACATCAGCCGTAGAAAATCATGTGAGAAAGCTGAGCAT